GGGAGCTTCTGCACCATTTTTTTAGCATCTTCTGTTTAGAGTACATTTATATAGGGAGAGGTTTGGTTTAAAGAAAGCATATATGAACAGTGAGGTCTAATTCTGGATTGGAAAAAATCAAAATATCAATGCTTTACTAACAGGCATATATTAAGGTATTTTCTTAAGGACAGATAGAGATTCAATGACAGAGACAGGAAAGTATATTTGTTTATGGATGCATCATCATTTCTTTTTCATGGAACAGAATTTTGCTTTTAGTATACTAAGCTCAGGAAACAAGTTTTCTTCTACTGTACTGTTCTCATATACAAAATATTTGGCCTTGACTCTATATCATTGCATATGCAATGAGCTTTCTTATAAATAAATGAACTGCGGTTTCATATCCATTATTACTGGATCCCATATGGCTATTCCTCTTTCCTGTGTGCATTGTGTAGTTATCCTTTATCAATTTCAAAAAAGTGTAAGAAGGATTTTTGCAAATCCATACATTTTCCATTGTGATTAACCAGATATATCAAGCCACCCAGAAGCATCAAGCTGTTTATTCCACTTCTCTCAAACATGTTTCAATCTTATCTTTTCCTTAGTTCATCTGTCTCTTGGCCTTCAATTACAAAATGTAACCTATTTTATTTTTATTGATATTGTTTCTGTCAACATTTAGATGAGAGTGTTTATCAGCCTCTTGTAGATATTAAGGTTCCTGAGGCAGCAAATTTTGGCTGGTGTTTGTTCAGCAGAAAGAAGTTCAGATCCTTATCATCCATAAATTCTTTAGTTCCACTGCAATCTGGGAACAACAGCAGTGATACAGCAAGGGTGGAAGCTGGAAATGGAATGTTGAGCTGAACACAGACATAATGCTTTTACCTAAAATTTGGATATGTCTATTACAGGATTACTTGTCAAACTAGAGGTTCAGAATATAACTAGGACCAGACAGACATATGCTGATCGTACTGAGTGACTATTTCTTTGGCACTGTCATCATGGGGGTTTTCTGTACCAACACTGAAGTGAGATTAGAAACAAATTTCCTGTAAAGAAGTAGTCATCTACTGCTACTCATATTTGCATTTCATATTTCCATGTCAAATATGAACTCGTGACCTTGAAATGAAATGCTCAGAGTTTCATGTTAATTTCTCGAACCCAGTACATTTACCACCATACTTTTATTTAAATGTCTGTCAAGAATGGGGTGTTCCTGATCAGTACCAGAGACCATGCAGCCTGCACCATCAACAGGAACTGCCCAAGGTGCAAAAAGACGGATTGACCATCACAACCTCTCACATTCAGGATAAATCTTTTCAAGCTGTGATAACATCTGTCATAAAATATCACAAAAATAAGGAGAGTCTTTTCACTTTCAGAGGCCAAAAGTTTTCTTTTCCACAGTAGCACATCATAGCAGCATCTTCCTGGCTGTCAGAATCATGTAGAACTCTACAAACACCAAGTGCTCTGTCTACTCACTTGAATTAAAATGTTTCTATCATCTGACCCATTTTATCAAAAGCTGTTCTTCCTCTCTAAATATAACTTGAGAACAGACAAACTGAGATCAAGTGTAAACTGCTGTCCAAAGTCACTCACTTTTTGATTGACACACTGCATCTTTGCATGTCCACATTAAAACTGTTATTTCACCAGTGTGGAGGCTGAATGTTCAATATAGCCTGAGGTTTTGCCCCTTTTCACTTTGCCCTTTTATGGATAAAGCTTGCATAGTAAGCTAACTATAGCATAAGGTCACATATAGTACATTTATGTTCTGTGTTTCATGTAACGTCAATATTTTTTTGTGGGTTTTTTTTTTTCACACAAGCTAAATAAAGTATGAGCAATGAAGTCATATTAAACCCACCTAACTTTAAATTTGGTAAGATTCGAAAGAAATAGAACAGAGTCAGCAAAAGTTTTCTTATGCACATAATGACCACAGCTTTCTCCAATGCCTTCTGAGCTATGACAATATTTCATGTGGGTACAAATCAGATAAAAAGCAATAGATTCTTGTAAGAAGGCACATGACTGTTTTCACCTGCAGCCATTTGGGTAGCTTTTATCACTGCTCCTGCAATCCATATACTTTATCAGAAAAATTAAAATTCTGCTCCAGAAGTGAGGAAGTTGTAGCAGCTTTTCATTAGAAAAGTACAGTCCATAACTTCCTGCAAAACAAATGAAATACTTTCAAAATTTATGTCGAATTGACAAGACAAATACCTAGGCATACTGGTGGGAATCGTTGTGCATATGACTGATCCAGCAGTGTGGGTCATTCACAATATCAGAAAAAAAAAAAAATTAGCATAATCTGAATAATATAAAGAAACACAATAGGAAACAGATAAATAAATTTTAATTTATTTTCCACATTTTCCACTGGATTTTTTTTTTTTTTTGTATTTCCTAACCTATCCCTATTTTATATCACATATAACTTATGTTTGTATTAACTTGAAGGGGACTACTCATAAAATATTGCAATTTTAATTCATAAAATTTACAATAAAATTGTAATGCCTCACTGAAAAATCTGTCCTGTGTCACTATGTACTTTATTTTGTGATGAATTTCTGATAATTTCTCTGTTATCACATCTGTTGTTTATTATCTGCTCTACTACCCTTCTATTGCTCTTCATGCTTCCTATAATTCCCTTTCCTCCCTTATGTCTTTACTTTATAACACTTAAATCAGAAATCTTGCCTTCAAAGTAAGCAATTACTTAGGGAAATAATATAATTTTCTCTGTAACCTCAGACACTAAGGTCTTGGACAGTGTAAATACTAAAAACCAGCAAGATTTTTAAAGTTATAATAAAAAGTGATTCGAATTTTGGAATATCATGCAGGGGAAAAAAGGTAAGGAATTCAGCTGTGATAAAGTCCAATCGAAATGTTTGCCCCAGGGTACAACAATGAAAATTAGTACGTCTCACATCCAATACCACTGAAAAGTATTTCTATTTTTTCAGGGAGATAAATTCCTAGATTCCTCTGACATTCTTAACCTGAGTTATTATACTGCAGTGCTCCAAGGGAAAAAAAAAAAGGAATAATAAAGCAGGACACAATGTGAAAAATGTGTATGTCATATTTTCAGGATCCTTCATCCCCACAAATCTTGACAAAAAACAGGAATGTTGTTTTATTTAAAAATTATCATTAAACAATCAGTAAAAATTAATTGAAGCTTCTAATGTGGGATTATGATCAAGAAATAGCTGAAGTGGGAGATCTCCAAGTAACATCCTCCTCTGAAGTCTATCTTGCACATCCATGATAAAGTGCTGTGACTGGTTAGTTATTGATTACTCCTTGCAGATTTTGGTGAGAAGTTCTATCCTGAACTTGGTCAAAGAATTGTCCTCCTGATAGTGTTTCCATCCAAAATTTATTTTTGTGATTTCCTCAGAATATTATGAAATCACTTCATAATATTCTGAGGAAATCACAAAAAGAAATTTTGTCAAAAAAATGCCGTGAGTCTTACTGAAAAAGTAAAAAGACCCTATTGATAAATACACATGAAATGCTCATTTGTAAAGAATAAAATATCAGGTGAGCACTAGTGTAGGATTTGTAATTTTCTCTTCTTTCCCCCCCAACCCCATTCCCCCTTCCCCCCGCGGTCCCTTGTCCCGACCCTTTGTTCCCTTATCTCTCCCTCTCACCATGTGGTACGGTCCCTGTCCCCCCCGCGGCTTTCCCGTTGCAGCCCCCGGGGTTTCCCTGCCCCTGTCCCCTGCCCCCCTGTCCCATTGGCTGCGGCTCAGGTCCCCCCCCACCCCCGGCATGGGGTATAACCGAGCCCCACTCAGTCCCCCGGTGTCTTGGGGAACACGCTTCCACAATAAACACATGTTTGCACCCGAGCCCCATTTTGTCTGTTCCCGCCTGAACTGAGCCTCGCAGAGACCGCCCTCTCCTTCCCTCCTCGCCATGCCCACAGGCGTCCGCCCGGAGCCGATCTCGCACAGCAACACACTAGTGTTGTGGTGTGGCTTTATTTAGTCAATTGGTTTTATTAATGTTAGTTAGCCTTTATGCTCCCCTATTTGTCCCCTCACAGTTGGTTTGATTCAAGTTCCAACTGTTCTAGTTGGACTTGTTCCAAGTCCCAAGAGTTCCCACCACTTGGCTCCCCAGTTATCTGTCAATCTTCTCACCTCTCCCTGTTTTCTCCTTATTTGTTTCCACTAATCCAAGTTTGTTTATACCCTTTTGTCTGTCAATCCTGTAACCACCCCCAGTTTCTTCCAGAAAGTTTTGTATCAATCACTCCAGCTTAGCTTTTCTATTTGCGCCCTGACCTTGTACCTACCCCTGCTACATTATCAGAGGTTGTTGTATCCCTCTCTGGTTTATCCCCATTGGGAAAGACAGGTTTGCACCCCTGTCTGCCCACCCCCTATTTAAGCTGCTGTAATCATTGATTTCTTCAGCATTTGTTCCTGCACCCAGCCAGAGGGCACCTTTCTTGCCCCACCTGGGTAAATAAAGGACTCTTTGGGCTGGCATACAAGTGTCCTCTCTCATCTCTTCACCTCTTCTCAGTGTGCAGAGTTACCCAAGCTGCGCACCCACGAGCAGCACTCAGCACCATCAGGGGCAGGCAGACGATTCTCACCTGAGGTGCCACTCCCACGGAGGCCATGCGGCCTCACATGGGTTGTGCCAGCTGGCTCATTCAATCTGCTCAGGGCTGTGGCAGGTAACCTCCATACATTAGAGGCCATTTTTCTTTTTTTAGCACTAAATGGGATGAAATATGTTTTTGAGGTGTTGGTCTCTGATACACTTATATAGCCTGAGTTTCTGCTTCACATACAAGACTTGAGAGTTTTATTTTATATTTAATTTCCTTCTCTCAGAAAATTGCAAGCTATACTCTCAGTTATATAACCCATTTAGCCAAAACTTAAGGTATACTTTGGCATCCTGCCTTAAAAAAAATGCTAAAAACAAGTAAGAAAGAATAGTAATATAATTATTTTTATTGTTACCAATATGCAGGAAACTTGTTTTTCAGAGCTGATAATTCAATAAAGAAATATATTTTCAAGTTTTCTTCTTTTTAATAGTTAAAACAGCTAGAGATTAGAAAGATTTTGATCTCTCGATTATTCCTCTCCATGTTACCATTTCACAGATGAAAATTTATGTAGCACAAAGCATTGAAACTCTCTGGAAAATGCAAGTTTGATTTAAAAAAAAAGGTAACATCGTTTCTAAGTAGTACAAATTATGAGCTGTGTTTACTTCTTTTTGAGAAATCCAAATGTGGTTTAGATGACATGATCAGGATCATACACTTTTTCACTTCAAGCATAGTTTTTGATCAATAGACCTACACTAACAGAAACAAAATAGCCTTAATAAGTGAGCTTTACTTTTCATACACAAGCAGTGTTTGATTTTTGCCCAGCTCAAATCCAATAATGAAGCTGGCTGTTAGATGTGTGTGCTTGAGACTTCAAAACATGGCTGAATTTTAATTGTAGATGCTTTGTACCTAGGTCAGTTCCAGAAAATAAAGGGAAGAATTGCTCTTAAACCAAGGATATAATTCAGATTTAAAGAAAAAATTCCTAATCTTAAGAATATGATAGAGAGTAATCCAGTTATTTTCAAGACAGTTAACACGGTAGGTAAAGTTGTGTGTAAGAACTGCAGAATATCTCAGAATTATGTTGACACTGTTAGCCTGACAAATGTATTAAGACAGACCCATTCCCACCCAGAATTCTAGCAGAAGATACAGCAGGTCTGATATTTGAGCAGTTCACTTATTTGCATGTTCCTGTACAAAGCTTTCTGTTGAGCTCACCAGTCATTTGGGCATTGAACACACATGATGACAAGGTCCACTATGGTGGGAGTTCCTGTAGATCCTGATTTTATTCAACTTTGCTAGGAATCTATCAGCTTCCAAGATCTTTGTGCCCTATGATCCTCTAGGAGTGTTAATACCAATGTCCATTTTTGCTTTGAGGGTATCTCTGCTGGATGAGTATGTTTCTGCAGGTACTGACTGCCTATCAGCTCTGTTGCATGTACTTCCAGAACAGACCAGATTACAAGACAGCTAGTGTGGAAATTCTGTTGGATCTTTGGGACTTCCTTGATGGACTTGTGAGGAGTTGCAAGAACGCAAAAATGCTACATGGAATCATGAAGCCCACAGAAGAAGTCTGCTAAACTCACAAGCAAAATGTTCTAGCTTTTGGAGACTCTCTGAACCTAAATATAAATGATGCATTTGCCACATATATAGAAGTAGTATAGACTCCAAACAAACTGGAAATAAATTTCAGGGTAATATAAGATAATAGCTTTGTTAAGACAAAAAAAAAAAAAAAAAATCAATCTTGAATATAAAAGATTGTCAGAAATATTTCTAAAAATTCTTTTGAAAGTTTTAACACTTCAACTGAGGACTAAAACAAATACCACAAAACCTCCCTAAACTTGCATTCAGATTCAGGTTGACAACAGTTATCTTGCAAATATTATCTTACCATAATTTTTTTTTTTTCTGTGTTTGTGGTGAGACACGTGAAAATTGCATAGTATGCTGGTACACAATCTAAATTGACTCATGGACAATAAAGTAGAGTAAGTGGGGTTCGACAAGAGCGTTCTACCTTCATTTCCTGTCTACCCTCACTTTATGTTTGAACTTTAAAACAGTCTGGCAAAGACAGCCTTGTTTGCAACAAGTTTGTTGTGAGCTATGGTGTCATTATTTTCTCAGATGTCATTTGTTGATAAAGCCTGTCAATTCCTTTGAGAAAGAGTGATTGATTCCTGTGCACTTTCATTACACGTGCCTGAACTTGACCATTGTAAATGTCCTTGTCTACTTTTGCCCTCTGTGTCAACTTGGGATCATAACCATGGCTTTTACCACCAATATGAATTCATAGATGTGCAATTACCCAATTGACTCATGTGGATAATGCATTCGTCCTATAACATTCTATTTCAGTTTCAGGACAGTGATGGTTGGAGAGGAACAGTTGTCACAAGTAAAAGTAAAGAACCATTTAGCAGCTATACTGCAGTCTGTTCTAAAGTATCTTATGGTGTCTCTCTCCACCCCTATCCATCTGTAGCAATAATTATGTGAGACAGTCTTTGAAATAGTGGCACAACCAAGGGACTGTATCAGGCATTACAGATCCAGTTCAGGTTCCCATCCCATTTCTGACGTTGGCCTCATTAATACAACTGTGTCACACCTGAGTCATAAAGATGGAGTGTCTGTAGATGTTTTGGTTCCTTGGTGAGTACAGAATACAGAAGTGAAGGCAAAATAACACATTCTGGTTGTGATGAGGAATGCAATAACCCACCACCATAGCAAAGAGAACATTTTGTTTGAAAAATACAAAAAAATATTTTGTCCCTTTTGTTTATTAAAAGAAAATGCAACAATTTTCTATCAATAACACTTGCATAAGGAGGTATACTTTACATTACTCTTTTGTTAAAAAAAATATATATATTTTTGGAGACTTTGGAAAAATATGAATGGCCCAAAACTTGTAACACACTTCTAATGCTCCTTAGAATGCACTGTGCCATTTATATATACTGCAAGTACAAGGTCTTAGCACTTTATAATAATCCACAAAGTAATGCTAGGCAGCATAATTTCATATCCTTCTTTGCATTCAGAATATTCCCTTTGTTACCCTTTTGTGAGCTTATGAGTTTGGTTAATTCCAGACTGGTCCAATAATTACATTTTCTAAAGGATGTTTTAAAAAATTATTATACCACAAAAATTTTGTAATTCCGTTAAAATAGCAGAAATAAGACTTTCCTATAGACATTTTCTTTCAGTATTCACAATTTAAACCACTGCACCAATTAGAATTAAAACTCAAAAATGCTTGCAGTTATTTCAGTTCTTTTAAGAATGCAAAAAAATAAAGTGCATAACAGAGTGAAGTTACTTTTAGCTTTTACAGTATTCTATATGTATGCAATAAAAGGTAACACTGATAAACAAATCAATTTGTTTTCAATGTATGAATCCTAATCTAATGCCAGCTGAATTCAAGCTCCTCCTTGTCTTTAAAGTGCATTAAAATACATTTTTGATGGGTTTTAATTTGACAATTTAGTTTCACATTTTACAATTCTTATACTGACCATTTTTTCAGATTATTTTGACTTGTCAAGATTACAGTTTACTGAGTGCCCTCACCATTACAAGAAAGAGAGTTTGAAGGAATTTGAAGGAATTTGAAGCTGCATTTGAAGGAATGCAGCTAATTATTTTGGTGGAAATGTACTATTAATTGAATGGTTGTTGTAGAAATCAAATTGTAAATAGAAAAGCCCTTAAGTATCACTTTGCATGTGCCATTTAACTTTACTCAGTATTCTCAGTTTAAGGCAAACTGGCAGCTTTCAGCATTTGTTGTTAAGCAGCAATGGGATTACTATTTATGCTAATATGAAAATATTTGAGAATATGAGTACACAAAACATCCATGAAAGCTTTAAGCATAGTCTATATAATCAGATTTAACCATAAACTGAGAAAAAATTTCCCTCAATACTTTCACTGAATATATGCTTTGTTTAAATCAGCAATGCTACAAAATGATCGTGCCATCCAGTGTTATTTTTCTTCCACTTCTAGGAAGGTCAACACAGAATCTAGGCCAACATAGAATTTCTCAAATATAGTTTAAATTTGATTTTAGGATATAAAGGACCAAAGGAAAAAAATGTGAGATTGGGATAATAAAATTGTAAACGTTATTTCTGCACTGTAAGGCCTTCTTCTGTGGCCCTGAAGATTTAATATTCTGTTATTTGTCATGCAAACAACACGACACTGTGATGTGTATTTGAATAAAACACAGAAAGCATAGCAAGCATGCAGACATATCATGATAGAAAAGCACATTTGGCGATCACTGTGAATAGGACGTACCAAACAGGACACACCGCAGCATCACAGAAGCAGTGTCTCAATAACCCTGCAAAGTTTTAAAGGATTCAGGTTTCCTGGGTATGATGAATGTGCTGTATAGCAGCAAAGACAGCACCAGGAATGGAGAAAAGGGAAATATTATTTCTCTGTGATATTATTAACTTAAACTGACCATTAGTGTAAGGAGTGACTATTTGCTTGTCACTACACTTCTGTTGCCTGTAAACCTGAACGTTCTGTGATGTAAATAAAAAAACCCAACAGCACGAACACTGCTTTAAACAAAAAATACAATTGATTTTCCTTGCTTTGGTGTAGAGCCAGAGGGAATAGGCATAAAGATAACTAATACTTGTTCTCAAAACTATTATACAACAATGAATGCAATTTTCATGCAGCTGTGATACAAAGTATTATGGTACTAGTAATGAAACATTTTGTTTTTAACACACTACTCATACAGTATAAAAATTTAGATGTTGGTGTAAAGCAAGTGTGACTTAAATAAAAAGAAAATTTCTCCTAATAAAATCCCACAATACTAGTTGCTTTATTTGGGACAAAAATGAAACATATCCTAGTTCTACCCCCAAAAAGACAATAAAAGACAACCATTCTCAGCTTGTGTGTAACTCTAACTGCATCTAACTTCACCCTACAGTAAGAATGCCTCCTTAAATGCTTTTCTAAAAGATTCTGTATTTCATGAAAGTATAGAAAAAATTAACACAAATTATTTTACTACTTTCAAATCATCAGCAGAATATTTTAGGGTTCAGGTGTTTTTCCGTACTAAATTTTCCTGTGGGTACATATTCTGAAAGAAAGAAGAGTAATTACTAACTTTAAACAAAGTAGTGTAAAAAAAACTAATTCTGGAACTACAGTACAACTAATACTTTATAGAGTGTAAAAGTTGCTTACAAATCTACTTTCTATTTTTTCCAGAAGGCTGTTTAAACCAAAAGCAGTCAACTACAGCTCAGGAAAAAAAAACCAACAACCTCTTCAAAGTAAACTATCAAAAATTTCTGTTATGTCTAGGACCTATCCAACCAGAGAGTAAAGAAAAGAACGCCTAATTACCTAGTTCACCTGTGTGGCTCACAATAGATCAGCAATAAATATACACCCTTCTTTACTAAGCTGAATATAAGTGGCACCTAAAACGCAGAGCGAGGAATCTAGGGCAGCATTCAAATTTGTATCACTCTACACACCAGGCCACAGAGTAAGAAAAAAAAAGTACACAACTTCTACTCTGGACAGTTTTCCAATCAAACGCATACTGGAAGAAGTCAATTTGCCTAAAGTGGAACTAGAATTAGAAGCAGAGGACTGTTGATAGTGATCGTGAGTATTATAGGTCAGAAACCCAGTTTCTAGTCCTCTCACAGTATTATCACCAGAAAGACAAAGAAAAGGTTAAAATTCCAAACAAAGGAAAGGAAAAATCAGAAGTTGTCAGATGAGGAGTTAATCAGGCTGTTATGGTAAGCAGAACTGTTTAGCAGTTCTGCTGCTGCAATGCTAAAAAAAGAAAAGAAATAATTGCTGGATTAGGTGTTAAGCACCTTGCTATGTTAAGGAGAACTATCATTTCTGCAATGCTACAAAGTTACTAATGTAAAAAATCAATTAATTTAACCCATAGGAACCACAGTAATGGGATATTTCCTTCACTGACTTAAAATGCTCTTGTTTCCATGATGCTTGAAATAGGTAAAAAACATGTTGTTCTGCTGAGGTGGCAATTATTCTAAGAAAAATAGATATCAGTTGGTCGTTATTTAAAAGAAAAAAGCATCATCATCTTATTCTCCTTGCTTCAATTTTTGCTATACCAGTGTCTTACCAGCAGCTCTATTTTGCTTTTAGTCACACACAGAAATAGAAAAACATTGTGATTAAGAACTCTGAGTTTTAAACAGACTGTTGTAGCTTCTGGACTCAGACGAGCAAAAGATTTAAAAAGCTTCAGGTCTTAATATAAGTGAAGCACAGTGAACCAAAAAAACCCACGTAGTTTAATGATGCTGCCATTTTTGTTTTTATTGAAAAAGCCTATGCTTTTTCTGCTTAGCTGCATAAAGAGTACTTTGGGCCTATTCCATTTAGATGAAAATGATGTTCCCATGAAAAGACAAAAAGAAAAAGCACAATACTGGAAACAACCGTTCCTCTAGCATGTAGTAACAGAGCAGGTCTGGGGTTATGGGCTAGAGCTGTGTTTGAGCTACAGATAATGATGTCCTCCATCTGTTAGCTGGTTATGGATGACAAGATTATGAAGGACATAATGAAATGACAGCTTCTCAATACAACCTGCTAAGTCAATAAGATTAAATAATCAAAGGACCATTTATTTAAGAGGAGAGGTGTGGCTTATCACCTCTGTTAAGGAAACAGACTGACAACACTTCTCATACTGATAATAAACCTCATTGTCTACCTCATGTTGGGATCACAAGGCCTAGAGCACAGCTAGAAATGCAACATCACAACCACCTGCAAGAGATTTGATCTTCTGTTAGCTCTCTTCTCAAACAGACATGACCATAAACTTACTGTAACTTGGAGCCGTTACGCATACTGCAATAAAAATGTTATTTCTTGGCTTTACTTTAGGCATTGTTGTAGATAAGGTACCAGACAATTTAATGAGCAATTTAAAAAAATACACAAGGGACAATAGATTTTTTTTCCGTATTTTCCAAAATTTGACTTTCTTTTAATTGGAGAACCCAGTTTCAAATATGAAAAGGGCACTTGTTCTACAGTAACTGCATACAACTTACTCAGTTCCAAGTACAGTATTCACTTGTTTTGTTACCATTGTTATCATTATCTGTCCAGTTATTTAGGAACTTCTCTGTTCTGGGAATTACAACTAAGTTGTTCTTTCTGGTTCTACTTCCCCATAGAGTTCAGCTAGCTTCTTGAACTCAGGTCCCCAGTCTCCAAGGTAATTATAATCCTGGTCAGAGTGTGTCGTTGCTGAATCCAGAGAGCTGATAGACCCACCTTCTGATCTATGACCCTCATAGGCATATGTCTGCAGGGAGTCATACGGGGGCACACTGGGATCCAGATCAGCCTCTGCCAGTCTTTGATTAAGGAACTCCTGAACATCTATACTGTCAAGGCTAGAGGAGGGATGATGCCTGGACAGAGGCTTCACTTCAGGATGAACATCCCTCCGGTATTTTAGCTCTTCAGCAGCAGATGGATTCCTCAGTGCTGTGATGTCAAATGCTTCTGTGTCTTCCTCTCCACCTCCCTCATCATCATATGCCACAACATTTTCCCGCACATCTTCTTCTGAAATGATCAAAGGCTCCTTCTTGCTACGTCTTAGGGTGATGAAAAGGACCACAATTGCTAAAGAGAAAACTGCAGATATTAGAGTAGGTTTAAAGTTTACATCTGAGCATGTTACATAAATAGCAGACACTAAGTCAAAAATACAGACGTGCAATATTTTCAGGCTGATATTTTCAGTACTGGTATTTGGGATCATCTGCTACTTAGTTTATTAGGGATCTCATAAAGGAGATGAATGGAGATAACACTCTTTCAGGTAAAAGAAAAATGAGTAACTAAAGTTGGCTTTTTTCAGAAGCATAATCCAGGGCTTTCAGTGCTTCATTAAAACCAATGTTTAGCATATAAATTGAATTGATATGTAAAACATTTATTTTTTCTTACAAATATTCAACTTTGTGTAATAAAATACATATAGGTATAACTATATATTTTAAAACAGCCTTCTGACAAGAAAATACTGAAGCAATCTGTAAAGAAAGTAGGTCTTAGAAAATGTACTCTTTGGGAGCAAAGCCCACAAAATATCCTCTCAGTTACCCTGCAATTGCTATTATTTCTTGCCTTCTCTGTACAAATGCAGAAAATCACATGAGTAGCACAGAGTCATGTATGCAGAAAGTTGTGTCTCCGACAGGAAAAAAAACCCAAACCAAAGCCAGCCACAGTATTAACTAATGGGTAACATTTGAATTAGCCTGGGAAAATAAAAAACATAAAAGAGTGAAGAAGAAATGCACTTGCAATGGCATTAATCTTATGAGTCTGCTTATAGTCTCCTGTGTCCCTTGTCCCTGTGAATTATGTTGTGCATTGCTATCAGTTTATTCCACAAAGGTAATTAAGAAATGGCTTTTGCAGAGTGCTAATGATGCTTCTTACAGCATAATGCAATTCATAAATCTTTGCCCATCTATTTTCTATAACTTTTCATACTGTTCAAGACATGATATTAGAGTCGTCTCTTTTTGAAATCTTTCCAAATTATGGAAAAAAAAGATCTCCAGTCCTAATTACTTGATAACCTCTGAAAAAAATTTCTACTGGATTCCAGATATTCAAAAATGTACTTTAAAGGCAATTTCTCTTATTAACTGTAGCTAAACCTCTACCCTCTAATCACAGATGAGTGTTTCTAATTGTCTCCTACTACAAGGCAACCATTGTTTTAAAAACATACCATTTGTAACCTTGTGCCCTGTCAGATTCTGAGAGGCATTGGAGGGATAGTATTACTTAGTATTGCAAATGGCTCACCAAGAAGGATGACAATGCAGAGCAGGATTGCAATTAAAGCTCCTGTACTCAAGCCAGCCGAGGAGAGGAGAGCTTCAGCATGGCAAGTTCTCACTCGTCCATCTCTCTCACAGGCACAAACCCGGATGGTGAGGGTACTGCTGCTGCTGAGAGGGGGCATGCCACCATCAGAAATCAAAACTGGGAGGTAATAGATATCTTGACTGGTTCGACTGTATCTCCTTCGTTTTGTTAGAATACTGGCTGTATTATCTGCAATATCAAAAGAAGAATAACATTTCAGTGAAGTAAAAAATGAAAAAAAAATGAAGTTATTTACTGTGTGTTTCCCATCAATGAAAGCATGAGACATATTAAAATTAGACAGCCCTAATCTATGAAAATGCACAATCTAGAATTAAAGTTTGTCAGGAGGCCTCTCTGGCCAATAGAGGAAAAAGGGGAGGAGTTGGAAAGTAACATTATATAAATAAGAATATTTAAAACTGTTGCATTTTTATTGGAATTAAGTGAACCTTGATACAAATTTTGGGCCAAATTTGCAGGTGTTTTCCTCTCATGTTATACTGCTGATAGCATATGGACCCTTGTCAAACTGACTAGCTGGAATTATGAGGATATCTACTGTGAAATTTTTGCACAACAAAATCCTCCAGACTCCCAGAAGAATATTAAAACTTCTTTAGTAAAAGCTAAAATAAGAATTTCATGTTTTAGTGGTTGCAAAAGGTTTTAGAGTTTTTTTGAGCTTTCAGAAAACATCTGAAAGGACAGTCACCAAAGACACATGCTTTGGAGAGGTCTGGAGAAAGCGGGAAGGCAAAGGAAGGGGAAAAGAGTGGATATTGCATGTTCTAAACTAGTAGAATTTAAAGATAAATAAGAAAAGGGGAGATAGTGACAAAAGACTTTTTCACCCTTCTCTTACCTACGGGTCCATCTGGCATAGACAATGAAAATCTAGTGCTTATTACACACACATTGCACGGGCATTTGTAGGCACTAATGAGAGTAGGAAGTTACTACACATATCCCTTCAAGTCTAAGAAACGAAGAGGCATAAAGATCATGCAGGGGAAAAAATGTTTTAACAAAATATAGTTATAGCTAATATTCATATGTGTAAAATTTATTTTCAGTTTGTTGCCACCACTATTAAATTACTAGCCTCTGAATAAAAGTCCAAGATAAAAGTAAAAAAATTTGAAACAGTGAGAATTTGAAACACAAGCAGTTATGGAGAGGGATGAGGACGGATACATGGAAAGAGATATTAGGAGAAAAGAGCTTTCTTCTTGTATTTCTTGTCACATGGTTTCCAAATTGTGGTGTTATGAGATTGAAGTATTTTAGCAAACAATAGAAAGTTAATAAGTGCTGAATACATCTGCCAGGTTTCTCTTCCTATTGCAAACAAACAATAAATTTTCTTATTTTTCCTTACCTCTGTATCTACAGTATTAAATAGCTTTATAATAATCTATGGAAAAATGAAATCCATGTCACTCTGTAAAAATCTAGTGCAATAATATAGCCAGTATGGCATATATTTTCCCATTGGACTGCTGCACACACATTTGAGTGAAAGAGTTAAGTTTTTGTTTAAACTGGATACAAGATCTGTTTCAGGTGGTTACTCTCCATGCTACTTTCTGTTAAGCTCTGTGCAAAACTTTAAAACATTCATTTTAACCAACTTTTGACAACATTTTATTTTGCATGCTATCTGACAGTGATATTTAGAAAAACTGGTAATATCATCCCACATCAGCATAATATATTTTGGTAGCAGGTTTCACAGAAGAAATACATATATAAACTGGGAATTGATACCATTGCTGATAAGCCAAGAACTCAGCACTGAAATCCTTTAGCTTTACTTCCGTACATAAGCAATACCCACAACATTCCTCCACACTCCTCCCCATTTTGGAAATATCAAATATCCAGCATGGTGAGTTTGTTATAAATTCATTAAGTGTTCTTTTCACTTTTGTGAAGTTATTTGTTACATATACATCCTGCCCCCATAATATTTTGCATTTTGTTGTTCTGGGCCTGCTAGGACTCTCACATAACACCCAAGCACAGTTACTGTTATTAACATACACCAGCGACCCTTCTCAGGCAGTATGGACAAGAGTGCACCAGGTTTTTTTCCTGCCTCAACATTATTTCAACAATCTACAGATCCTTAAGCATTCCTTAATAGCCTCATGCAGGCGCTATAACACACTGTGGCATGTATATTCCTTTTCCAATATGATAACAGTATGCTGTTGAGCTGCAATACAACTTTCACATTATTTTGGAAATTCAAAAGACATCATTGATAATGACGTCTGGTTTCCACTGGTTTCTATACAGAGTCAAGAGGAGGTACACGGCCAAGTGCTGTCCTTGTTGCCTGTGACTTAAATTTTAAAAAGAGTCAGTGGTCCAGTGCACAGGTCCAGTAGCAGTGATGAAAATGTTGGTTGACAACAAAAGCATCAGAGACTGAATATAATGAAGAAAAACTGAGGACTCCTGCTCAGGGATCTTGCAGTAATTTTAGCACAGACACTACTGGCAAAGATGTAAAGGAAAGAACATTGAGATGTGAGAATGTATGCTACAAGGGTAAATGTGGACAGATGGGAGGAAAAGTGTGAGGAAAAAAATATTAAAGCTAAGAGAAAAAAAAGAAAAGAGAAAAAAAATGAAGAAATGGGAAAATCATACAATTCAATTTTACAGTGAAAAATGTGAAAAAAGTTATAATTAAACCTTGCTTCTTTGTGCGGAAGGCCTTGCCAAACAAAGAACTGATATTTTTATACTGTACAGAATAAATACAAATTAAAAAAATAGACTTTTTTTCTTTCAGTGTTGTATTTGTTCATTCAATATTAAATTGTTTTTCTTGGACTGTTAACATTATACAATTAAATATAAGATACAATGAAATATTGGTATAATACACAATTAAATGAAAAAGGGTTTCTGTAGAAACAGATGTTACATGACATACCAAGAAGTTTCTGTAATATCCAGTGATAAACATTCTGGAAAAAACAGTGTAAAGATTTTCCTTCAATGAAATTTCATAATTTTGACACAAATAAAAAGTATTATCTTTGAGACACTGGCTTGGAAATTTTCTGTTCCCAATATCATCAGAGGTGTTATTTCTCATTATTTCTCTATCACAGATTTAGATATGGTAACTTAGTGCATTGTGTTTACATGTAAGTAAAATACTGGAAAGTATCTGAACTCTCACACGCTATTTTTGTCCCATTAAATTTCTTAAAATATTATTTCTTAAAATCTTAGAATAAGATACCTAACATTTTCTCAAAAAAGGAAACTGTCTGGTTTTCCAAAGGTCACTGAGCATCCAACATTCTGGTGTTCCGAGCTTTCAGATTTTAATTGCTCTTGTTTCTTGTCAAAAACCATTATAGGAACGTGTTGAGAGAAGAGCTAGAAAGGCAGTAACTTTTAAGAGCTTTGCACAGAACAAAAAATATCTCCATCGGTAAAAGCTATAGGGAGCCAAGGATAAAGTCTGACACTGATGATATAGAAAAGAGTTTATTGAAAAGGGGAAAAAAGTTATATCAACAGCAATAGTTTGAAAGGGAGCCAGGGGGTTATGCAGTGAGAAATTTCTTTGGTATCTGAAAAAAAGCTACAGCAAATAGTCGGGGAAGGCAAGCATATAGGATAGCAGCAATAGCAGTAGGATGATGAGCACTATAGATCTCATTCTTCTAGGCCTGGAAGGAAAGACTTTTTTATCTCAGTAGATTTAAATGGTGAGCTTCACCTCTGAGGTATGGTAAGAACCAGGACTCACTGGAGATTATCGGATTGACTGCTAAGGAAAACAACTCCCACATAGGGAAAGAAATATTTATCTGATACCTTGTGTTATACATTGCTCCATTTAATGATCTAAATTTTCTAATGATTTAAACTTACTCCTGTTTGGGCTGCTCTTTGTAAATATGTCAACTAGAAGTTAAGCTTTATCTTAAGTGCGTTTGAGGTTACCCATGGGAAATGATGCATGGCTGTAACACAGCAACTCTTCACATTCTGAAGATGTCATAGTTTACTAAGCCAAGCTGTACACTGTATGCAAGGCTGTTATCACAGCAAGTCTTTTTTCCATCATCTCTGCCTTTTAATATTGAGCTTCTAATCTAAATAAAGAAATGAGGGCATAGGAAAATCCAGGAAGCAAAGATAAAATGATAAGACTATGGAAGGTGACAACTAGAGCACATTGGAGGATGCTCATTTATTATTCACAATTTGAGAATTCCTTTGACACATTATGCATTTAAAGCAGAGACAAGACAAAGAAAAAAAAGTAAAATCCTGTTTATATCTTAAGGCATGTTTCAATTTTCTGTTCTGCTTGTGTCAGCAGTTAAATTTTCTGAGACATCATAAACTAATTAAAAACAAAGAAGATATATTGGAATGATTTTAATTTCTTACATTTCTAAATTTGGAGCTGTTAATTTGTTTATGTGAACTACATGATAGGCATTTCTGTTTCATTTCCTTATTGATAATTCTTGTAAATATTTTTCTCCTTTGCTGTCTTCAAAGCTATTGCCGATGGGCCGAAGCTATTTGTTTCTATAAGTTTCAGTAGGTAGCAAAAATGAAAAGTAAAATAGTACACATTTTTGGCCTGAAATATAGTTATTTGCTTATAGTTGATTTGTGAATCACTAACAAGTTATAGTCCAGAAAAGAAAAGCAAGAACCTCTACGCTATGCGCTAAAATATCTTTACTATCAAACCGAGAGCCAACTTTAAAAAAAAAATTTCAAAGATGTTCAGAGGCATGAAGAGGGAAAATGTCTTCCCCACGCAGTAGCTGCTCCTGGTTTTCTGTTATACTCATGGTAGAATTCCTTTTTAACTTCCATGTGTTGAATCTGTGATAATAACTACTCAGACATTCAATTCATTTACAGTAACAGTACTTCTGTGGACTGTACTTACAGTCACCATGTATGATATTAACTTTGCACTTTCTCAGATATAATTTCTCTCAAGTTACAACTTGTCTTCTTTACAGGATGATATTTTACATAAGGTCAGCAGTGATTCACAGTACCACATAACCAGAACAACCACGACTCTGTGATGTAAATGAAAGCAGGCACTGTGTGAACATTTTTCTCTTGTGATGGGTTGCAAAGTGGAGGCTTCAATCCAACCATTTTAAATGCCACTTTAGATGTTCTAGAACAACTAAGACATGGTCTGGTATCTGGCATACTCATTTGCAGCTTGAAAGCTCTGAAGCTGATTCAACGACACATTGTCCAATATGGTAGGAAATAAGAAGGGCAGAGTGATAAAGAGAAGATTCTGTAAGAAATTCACACTGGGATGGGATCAATTAATCTCTGGAGGCTGTTCTCTTTCTAAATAACAGCAATGATGAGTAAAATTGATTTTTTTTCTTTTTTTTTTACTATTTTTTGATCTGTGACACAGGGAAAAAGATTAATATATATCACAGGCATGAGTGGATGAATACATTACAACCTTAATTTTATACAGATGCCATTGAACTCATCATGCTATAGATTTTACAGAAAAACACATCTCCACTTCTGTGGGTGTTAATGTATCTTCTGACATTAAGAAAATGGAATCTCCAGAATTATAGTATCAGAAAAATGGCATACCTTTATTCCAGTTCCAGAATATTCTCCATCACTGGGCAAGAATCAAAGGGCCAGATCTTTGAGATAAGTGGGAAGAGGGGAAAAATAAATTGAAAATGCTTTTGTCATATGGAACCTCTGTCCTGAAGAAATAAAAGAAGAGAAAAACAAATGCGAAGCATTCTCTAGGGAGGTGTTCTTCATTGAAAGTAAGCTAAACTTAGCTATCAGAAGTCAGCAATCTCAATTTATTGAGGTAAGAGAATGCACAGGTCTCACTGGCACTGTAAGGTGAATGTGTTCATTATCTGTATAAATCCTTCTTGTCTAGGAAATTTACGATACCACTAAGCATCCATAGAAAACTGTATATCTTGTGATTAAAAAATAACACCAGCAAAACAGTTCTTTACAGTGCAGAAATTTCTTAGATGTTCTAAGTGAACTGTTCCCTGAGGGTTCAATCTTTTTTCGTCTCTTGAAAAATATTATGTAAGTTCTGAAAGAGATGTGAGTCTACATATTAATTCTTGGAAATATGATAATAATGACAAGCTCAGATGCGTTTTTCATCAGACAAAAAAAGTTTGACAAATACATCCACAATTTCTTAGGCATCTGGAAAAATATTATTTTTAGGGTAAGGAAAATAAAAGTCTAGAATTCAATACATAGAAATGGATCTATTGGGAAAAATTTCTGTTGTCTTTATTCTGATTTCCAAACAGGAGATTGTTTTAGCCCCATATAGTTATGGAAAGTTTGTAATGGGATATGCAAAAGTAGATATTTCTGATTATGCAAAAAGTAAAATTTGTGATATTAGAAAAAGGATTATAAAACTATCTATGACAATATCCTAAAAAAGGAAGTGAGGAGAACACAGACAACAATGAAATGAGTTATCTATAATCTGATTTACAATATAAAAGCACAGCAGAAAAAGTACTTGGCTTCTCAAGTTTTAATAGAAATGGTAACAATTTTCTAGGCAAAATAAATAGCAAACAAACCTTTTTGCATTAAAAGATCTTCATAAGTTCAATTCTCAAATAAAAAAGAAAGGCCTCTTCTCTGTGTTTGCTCTCTGAAGCTGCAGAAAATTATTACAATTTAATGTATTTTCTTTGTATAACGAAGAAATTCTATTCCAGCTCTTGTTCTGCCTTGCTTACATGAGCACAGATACTGCATCATTTTGTTGTTGTCCTGTCCTCTTGTTCACGCTTGTAAGCCTTTACTCTCTCTGAACAGCACTTTTAAAATATGTAATAAAACTTGAATAGCAATACAGAATCTCTTTTGCCTTAAGAATGCAGTAGAGAAAAAGTATCATATTCTGCATTTTTCTTTTTTTATTTTTCATTCAACTAAAAATTGCAGCACAAACAGAATACAGAAGGGGATCCTAAGAACTCTTAATTTTGCTGGATGTTATATTTGGTATAGCCCTGCGACTCTATTCTGACCAACATTTCCCTGAGGGTTTAAAGCTCTGAATTATAAGTGTGAATATTCCATAATAGATATTTGATATAGTGGAGATTTTCATTTAGAAAATGCACAATTTCAGGTCCAAGAGATAAAAGTTTAACTGGTCGAATGATCAATTACAGGGACTGAGGTTTTAATATTTATTAAGTTTGCTGAAGCCATAGAACATTATTGAGCTGAATCATACACGTGCTGGGATTGTATATTGCTGTGATCTATATAGGTAGATAGGAACAAACTACAGAATCTTATGCTTGTACAAGCCCTAGATTTCAGTCAAAGTGCATAGATAAAAGCATAAATATTTTAAGATCCCGTGCACTGCTGTGGAATATACTGATAATAAATGAATATTCATTCATGCTTTTACCTGGCTCTGCAAAATCTATTTGGGGTTCAAGAACAAAACTCTGTTGTTTTGGATTATGAAAATAAGAGGAAAAAATGTCTACAGATATTTTAATGAAATGAAACCCTTTCCTGATGAAATAAGAGGATGACTGAATTAGCAGGCGATTGCAAGAGGAATATAGTTCTGTAGAGACAGATTCGGCTAGCAATGACTATGATTTTCTATGTGAAATCAAGAATTTGGGTTTTATCATTCTACAAAATATTATAAAAATTCTCTTAAGGCAATTTTTGTAGCTTTTTTTTTTTTCTTTAAAAATACAACAAACAAGCAAATAAAACCCTCCCAGAATATCATCCTTTATAGAATTTGGAAATCCAGAGCAGCTGTCTTCTGTTCAGAGCATTCAGATTATTTTTAATGACTGATGCTTGAAAACATGAGTTTTCAAAAGTGCAAACTTATCACAGATATAAGAAAAGCCCTTCTTGCCCACCTTCTTTCTGCTATTTCATATAATAGAAAACAATAGAAAATCTGAATAGAAAAATATTCAGAAAATGTTTCTGAATAGAAGTAGATGAGAAATATGAAAGCTGTAAATGCTGAATTGCTGCATATTGTGCATGCACTTCATAGGTGTTTCACTAATACTTTATGTATAGATTGTGCCACAAAGAAAAAGTCCCAATAAAAGACAATGTTTACACAACAGATTCGAAGTGTCTTGTCCCAAGCAAAATCATAACTATGTAATTGCTTTTAAAATAAATTTCTTGTTATGATTTGAATTAGGCAGTCATTTTTTAATTATATGGCCATTTTGGAAGTTGCATTTTTTGAGTCTCTTTGTGTGTGAGAAGTTTTATGCAAGATACTATAGGAAGTGCGAAATTTTGTACTTCCTTAGGTGAAATAAAAACATAATGCACAACAGGTTTTTACTTTAAAAGACACCCTTTTCAGTTCCTTCCTCTACTCCCTCCCATAAAATCCAATTTAGGGCAGTCCAAACACTGCTTTCAGCTGTTGATTGCTAAGACATTGCTCGTTGATCTTGGGGAAGTAAAGAAAAAGCAGCAAGTGCTTCTATCCAAAATTGAATATTTCTATCCAACACATGACATTGCAGCATCAAATGTTTGCTAGAAGCTCATGCCCTCTTATAATTCTGTGTAGTTAAATAATTTATGTAGCAATGAACAGACATAATACAGACCCAGCTTTAAATATCTTCAAAATCATAAATGATCTACTTTGTCACAAACCACAATTTTAGTAGAGCTGTTAAAAAAAACTCCTTGATATAAATATCTTATATTGAAATGATCATGCACATGGTCTTTCTCATGAGATCACAGACTAATACCCAAGGAGTTTATTGGAAACATAGACTAAAATACAGAAATATGTAACAGTACCCGTCCTCCATTTCAGGAACAACAGTCTGGCTTTTTATACAATGTTCCATCACAATATGAATGGGATCGATGTATTAATCTGGGAAAGTGCTGGTGTCACTTAGGGAACATTTTAAGTATATTAATTATATTAGTCCTTCAATATTTATAACTATTTATTAATATTGATATATATTTATTGATCTCTTTTGGAACTTGAATATGAAATCCATTTACGTATTCTAAATAAAGAGCATGATTATTTTTCTTCTGTAAATTTAGTTAAACACTGGAACAGATTCTTTAGGAGGATTATCCAATCTCCTTCCCTGATTGATTTTACAAACAGATAAAGTCTGTAAAGAATTGTTTCAGTATCACTGTATGTACCAAATATAACAATGATGGAGTTAATGCATTACAGAGGACTAGGGATCTGTAATATCTCAAAATCACAATAGTATTACAAATACGTAACTGTAAAACAAAGCAAATCCCATACACTTCCACATAGGCATACAAAGAAAGCCCCACAATACACAAACACAAAATCTCAGGAAGAAAATCTAGACAAACATTTAAAGGTTACTTTTATTTTCATCAGGTTGCAAAGTGGAGACCACGAGGTAATACTTGATCAAATGCAAGGCTGATTTAGGTTTGGGTTTTGGAGGTTGGACAGTTTTTCACTCAAGAAATGTTCAGAAACACTTGTTTGGCAGACTCAGGGCTGTTTTCCTCCTGGAACTATCTGTTATGAATTTCTGATTGCAATATTTAGGAACAGCTGCTTAGGAATGGCATGAAGAGATAGACTATCATCCAGGAACCACAGAAGGACCTGCTCTTGATGTCATATCTGTAAAAGCAAGCATGAATTCCAATTTTTATGCCCCTTGTTTTTTTTCTCCTTTAAGCAATAATTGGCAATAACCTTGACAGTACCCAAACAGTGCTATTCACCTAAAAGTAGAACAAATTTACATATTTTTCATTAATCCACTTTTCAAAAACATTCCTGAAACTATGAAATATAAATGCTAAAATAAAAGGGAATATAAATTCAAAATGCAATATCTAATTATAGTTTGCAATATATTGCGTACACATGTCCTTGATATCCAACAGCTCAGTGATGACATATTACAGTTTTCCGTTTCTGTCAGGAAATGCATGGAAATTGTTCTGTTCAATTGACACAGCCCAGAGAAAACATAAGCCCATTTCTTTGATATTTACATATTTGATTTACCTTCATTGTTCCTTAGAGTAAAGTTGGGATTCAAAGAAAGACCTTCATCAAGAGAAAAATGGAATCTTGCACCATTTGCAGAGTCATCTTTGTCAGTAGCAGTGATAGTCTGAATTACCTGAAATAAAATTTAACAGTGAATGTGTTGAAATTTGAACTTGACCCATATAGTTCCTGACTTCAGCAGGATGCTCAAGTTTACTTTATTTTAATTTTCTACTTGACTGATGCTGAATTCAACAGGTGAAATTACTGGGTCATTAACTTGATTTCTCTAGCAGGAAATATTTTGGGAACCACACTTCAGAGCCAGGTAAAAGCATATAAAGGATCTATACTTTCTGATGTTTTGATAAGGTCAGGAGCTGGTGTAGAGATTATCACCATCTGCATTGTATCCTGCTGACTTCCTGAATTACAGTTTTAGCTAAATATCTGCTTTTATGGAGCCAAAATGCAGGCTGAACTAGGATGGTCTGTGCGAAGTGTCATCTGCCTGCTGTCCTAATAATTGAATGTACTTCAATATTGGTAAGGAAAAAAAAATTAACTAAAATATTTCTGCTAACCATATCTCTGCTAACAAAAATCCAGTTAAGAATCAGTTTTAAATTGCCAGATAACTGAACAGGAAGAAGAGAAGCCACTCCTGGCTTTAGTTTAGTTTTCCCAAAAGCAACAGAACTGTATGTAGCCAGAACCATGACTGAGAGAGGTATTTTTGAAAGGTAGGACCTTTATCTTAAAAAGCCCTGGTGGTTTTTTTTAAATTTACTTTCAACTAAAATTGATCTAAGCTCTTGGAATGTGGGACCAAACAGTATTTCTACCTCTGCTTTCATTTTCATTCTGGGTCTTGAAACTCAAGTGCTAAAGTGGAATCCAATAAAAGTTTTTCCTGTGATATAGGGAACAAAGCCCATACAGACTGCTGCACAGAGCTGATAGATATCCTGAGGAAAACATAAAGCGGGGAGGGAAAGTGATCTTTTCATAAGAATTTTTCTGTTCACTGTTCAGTTATACTCTGTCTGAAACATACACATAGTCTGAACTTGAAACATGCACAGCACAGACTCCAGTGGCTTGGTCTGTTTTAAAACTGAAAAACACCACAGAGATGTCTACCCTCATTCTCATAAAAGAAACAAAACAAATTTCTTTTTAAACCATATTCTGGTTTGGACTGGGGTAGAGTCAATTTTCTTCACAGTAGCTGGTATGAGGCTGTGGTTTTAGTTTGTGCTGGAAAAAGTATTGGTGACACAGAAATGTTTCTGTCATTGCTAAGCAGGGCTTGCACAGCATCAGGGTCTTTTCTGTTTCTTGTACAGCCTCATCAGCAAGGGGGTGGAGGTGCAGGAAAAGTTGTGAGAGGACACTGCCAAGACAGTTGACTCCAACTGAACAGAAGTTCAGATGGATTTTCCATACGATATGATGTAGTGCTGACTTACAGAACTGGAGGAAGAGGAAAGAAGGAGGGGATGTTTAGAGTGACTGTGCTTATCTTCCAAAGTCAGCGTTGCTACACATGATGTTGCTCTGCTCTCCTGGAGATGGCTGAACATCTGCCTGCCCATGGGAAGTGGCCATTTCCTTGCTTTTGTTAGCTTGCATCTTCAGCTTTGGCTGTACCCATTACACTGTCTTTATCTCAACCCACAAGCTCTCTCACTTTTACTTTCCTGATTCTCTTCCCCATCCCACTGGTGGGGGAGTGAATGAGTGGCTGTGTGGGGATGAGCTGGCATTAAACCATGACAACTCAATAGGGTATAATGCTTATTCCATTTACTGTATAGAATGAAGTACATTGCATTGACATCTGAGACAATTAACAGTACTTACAATGGTCGCCAATAATATTTTACTAGCTTGTCATAATACTTTTTGTTCAATCTGAAAAATATCTGAAATAGCTATAATCATGCATATGACTTTTACCTAAGTGACGGCAATACTGGTTGAAAATTTTGGCAAAAGCTAATTTTTTACTACTGAATTTAGCAAAGGTAGCACAACTATTAGTGAAACTACCATCTAAAATCAGAAAGATAGGATTTTCTTTAGTTGTTGGAATGGTATTTGTCACAGTAAGACAAAAAAAGGGGTGATAGAACACTGTGTTCAAAAGAATAGATTTATGTTATTATTCAAATACTAAAAATGTCATTAAATACCATACACATCTGTAAAAACTTCAGATAAGACCATAAGAAAAAAATATTATTTTATTAAATATTTTTTGTAAATCTCCAGTATTGTTTCTCAGTGAAATATAAGTCAATTTGCCATGCAGCTTCAGCTTTTATTTGACAGCATGGTGGATAAATTTTCATCCTGTTGCCCTATTCTACATAAAACATTCAGTGACATTTTACAGAATGCTGCTTCAAGAGTATGCCATTCTGCAACAAAAATACCTTTGATCAAGACCTCGGTGACACATGAATTGTGTAAAAATTATTTGGTTTTAAGACTAACTTTATAACTCAAAATATAGGGTCGATATTCCCTGATTTCACACATGTAAATTCAAGTATTCCTTGAATTCATGAATGTATGTAAAAAGTATAGAACCACATGATATAAAAGTTATGCTTTTTCACATAAAGAAGAAATATTGTATGTTTACTAGGATAGGTCAAAGCATTTTTAGAGACCTGTTTTTAAACAGGAAGTTCACCCAATTTCAGAAAAGATTTCTAAGACATTTATACAGAAGTCAGAAACAAAAGTACATGTCATCTTGACACCCAAATGTATTATTAACCCTTTTCTAATTAATTGGCCAAGTACTAAATAGCCCATTAGCAGACATTAACATGTACCGTGCCAAGACTGATTAAAATAAAAATGTAGACATAATGTCAGCTTCAGTAAAGCCCAGCTGACAACACTGATAGGATGAAACTGAAGGGTCATGATATTTTTTTTAAGGCAAGACACAATGATAAAAGAGAATTTCAAGAACTGAGGGGAGCTATCGAAGAGGACAGAGAGCAGCTGTTAAATTCTACTCAGAATCATTTTAGAATTGAATCAGTAAAAAAGCAAATATACATATGACAAACATATATCAGAGGCATTCCTTGCCAGCTAACATTTATTTCCTTTTTGGAAGATGGCAAAATGTCATTTCCTACACTGGCTACATTTCACAGTCATTACAAAAATCAGTATATGTTGAGAAGTCAGTATTCTCCCAGTCTGAAAGTCATATAAGATCAAATCACAGCTACTTTATCTGCTTTAATATATAATGTCAACCAGGCTTCACTTGGAATCTGTTGCAGATACTTAGTCTATTTTCTCAACTATATGATTATTAAGTGACTAAAGCTCTCACTTCAGCCTGGAAATTATTGTCTCCTCATAAGCATTTTCTATTTGACATGCCTTCGGTTTGGTCATTTAGACATAACACTTAGGCATTAAACACTGAATGTTTTTTGTTCTTGTTTTCTTTTTCCAAAAAACAGAGCAGTGGAGGGAAAAAAGCTGGAGACAGGCTCTATGGTTAGATGATACTGTGATTTCATTCCATTAAACGGTCTTCTGATAATAGACAAGCAAACACAAGAAGTCTTTCAATGACTGGTTACTTTACCTAACACATAAAAATTTCAAAATAGGTGTGCTGAGGAAAGAAATAATGAACCTTACAGGACAGTGCAACATGGAAGCTCAAGTCAGGTGGATGTCCCCAGCAATACAGAATTTGTTATTTAGGCATAAATCTTATGAAATATTGTCACAGGATGGTGAATAACTCAAAGTTAAACTGTCAGGGTCACTGGGCAAGACCCCAACCGTGTGAAAGTCCTTTCAGTGATTCAGAACGACCCAGCTGGGAGCACTTTATAGCATAGGGAACATTTTTCTTCTTCTGCAATCAGTTTATTTGCCCCTCCCTAATATTTGTTGAACACCATCTTACATGTTTTTCTTTCCTTAGACTAGATTTTAACATCTGAGCAAGACACGTGCTTTTGCTTAGTGTTATAAATTTTCTGAAACCTTGTTGTTAAATGCAAATAAAAAATAGTTCACAACACATATGTAAAGGAGCCCTGTTAGTTGAAGAATACAACATCAAGCTCGTCCAGCCTTTGGTATTAACTACAGCTTGTAGAGTCTCACATAGTAATCTCAGGTGTTAAACTGCAGTGTGGTCAAGGTCAGGAGTCATTCAGATGTGCAACAGTAGCTCAGGGAAAAGTACAAGGCTGGCCCAAACAGTGAGCAAATTCTATTGAATTCCTTAAAGATCTTGCCCATAAATTATCATTTGTAAAACTACTATTGGAGAATTAAAACTTTGCTACAAAACATTAGCTACTTACCAGCAAACACAGCCCCAGCAAAAAAACATTTCTGAGATAGCTTCAGATTTGCATTATTTACCTTATTATTGGTTATTAGAATTTAACATTGATTTTTAATAATATATTTTAAAAATATCAGAAAAATTTTAAGTCAGTTGCAACTAATGTTTAAAAGAAATATTTTTTCTTACATTAATTTTTACAAGTTCTAATGATTCTATATTTTCATTTTTTTGAGGTTTTCAGAATATTATTTTTACTTTAATAAGCATTTAATAAGAGATATTCCGTTGACAGACAGACCTACTTGGATTTTCCAGTGTCTCAATAAGAGCACTGAAGAACACTATACAATCATTAGTAAGAAGGAAGGTCCTTGCACACATAATTGCACTAAAGACAGGAAATAGGAACTTTCCTGTAAATTGTATATTACACAAGGAGAGAAAACCACAGTGATTTCTGGCTTAAGCTGGGCCACTTATTGATCAGTGTAATAATAAAATATCTTTTTATAAAGAGTATGATTATCAGCCCACCAAATCTACTTATGATATTGATTTGTTCAAAGAAGAAAAGAGGAAAGGCTGACATTAAAGACCTTGCAATACTCAGTAGCCAGGAAATACAAAGAGAAATGAATTTCATTATACATAGACATAAGGTCTTAACTTCACACACATGATGGTGATCTCTGATCTATTACTTTTAATGATATTGGTGTTATGGCAGACATAGTTTTTGCATTCCATAATTACTGGAAAGCAAAGTCATTCTTAGAAATTGCTATGAAAGTACTGATGATCAAAGCAGAGATCTTCATATACTATGAAGCATGAAATATTCTAAAAATTTTTAACCACTGCATATCTGCATCTTGAATCTTCATTCTATCTCAAGGTGAATAGAGAGGAATTAGAGAAAGTTTAAAAGAGGAAAAGATGAATGATCAAAAGTTCAGAAGGGCTTTATCACCAATTGCCCCAGTTAAGTAAGACTGACTCAGTCTGGACAGGAGACAGCTAAGGGACAATATGCTAAGAATTTATGCATGGCACAGCAATAATAAATAGAGATCTACTGCACTCCCTCTTTCTCTCCCAAAAGAACTGGTAAATATTGATCGATGACAGTATGGAAAGATTAAAAAAATAGATTAGATTAGGTCTTACTGTAGCATGCAATTAAGCTACAACATTTCTAGGTGCATGAGGTAGCAGATACCAAAAATTTATGTTTGTTGTAGGAAAAGTTAGACAGGTTCATATGAGATTGTTATCAAAGGATTATTTAAAAAGACACAAACCACATTTAGATCAGGAAATGACCTTTAGGAAAATAAATTATCTGATACCAGGGAAGAATTTGTGGTAAGTATCATACATACTTGCCATTTTCTTATACTGTGCTTTAGGTGCCAGTTTTTGGCTACTGGTGAAATGAAGATAACTTTGATCAGGCTACAGTCAGATGATGATGGCATTTTTATAGTCTCAGCTTTAAAAACAGAAATATGTCACTATGCATTTGTGTATGTTCTTTTTAAGGATTTGATGAAAATAATGTTATTACTAGTAATATATCCCTCAGGAAAAATATGAGCTCATAATTGAAACATACAACCTGTGTAATAATCCAAAACAAGCACAGTGTTGTGGGTAAAACTCAGTCTATGCAGAAAAGGAAAAGCACTTTGCAAAACTGTCAAACACTGGGCTGTAATGGCATGTGTCAATCAGAGGAGCAGTGGCTGGAGTATGAATCAGGTATTTAGTCACAGTTCTGGCTCTCCCCATCCTCATAGTTGTGAAAAACTCATTCAAGATCTTTTGTGTAATGACCTATCACAGACAAGGGCAACCAACAGGCAAAGCGTGAGGATGTGAGCCATGGTCACCAGCCACTTCAGTGAGCTGCATTTGAAACATTGCTACTATGTGGCACTAGGATAAGAGATGTTAAATCTGCTTTATTCACTTTGTTCAGGATAGTGGCTTGTCAAATTCTATACCTTATCTGACAGGATTAAAGTTTTACCTGTCTTTACAGAAGATAGCTTGAGAATTTTTTTTTTTTTTTGCAGCAACAAGAAGGAGATATTGAACAAATGCAAAATTTTCTCCATTTTGCCACATTTCAATCAAATACAAAATGCTAAAGCAAAATCAGAAAGAGTTATGACATTTTCCAAATTTCTGACATATGTGACATTAACAAAGCAATTGTTCTTTGTCCCTGGAAAAAATATAGCTGTGAGAGTTACCTGACCAGGCTTTGTATTTTCACAGATGACTACATCATAATCTCTGGCAAGCTCGGGAGGATTGTCATTGACATCCAGGATTCTAACACCAACTGGAACATGGCTCACTAGCCCAGGATTATCTGCAAAACACATGGGATGCCATTAAGCCTTTTAAAATACTCAATATTTCACGTCATCCTCAATCTAAATGTGGTTTATTAACAGAATAACTAGATGAAAACTGGATGCAGCTACAGAAATTTAAGTAACAACATAATAAAACATATTTGTTGTGCTTCATTAACTGTTTTGAAAAAATAGCAATTAAAAAGATTGGAAAGTATGGCATGAGTCTTAAGTCACGCAAATCAAATACAAGTTACTCTGGAAATGAAGTAGGAAGAAGCTGCTGGACTTATACTATAACACTGCATGCTAAAAAATGATCAATTTCTTGATAATGAATGTGAAACTGTCATCACAGTTTTGAATTAAAGCTAATACAACAAATATTAAAACATTGTTTTCACAGTTCCTTAAAGGTTTTAGAAAATAAAATGAAAATATAATAATAAACCACATAAGTATACATAAACTTTTCCCAAGCTTGAGTTCCAATTTCTTACAAGTTATTATGGCATTTCACACGATAGTTAGTGAGTGTGGCTTTAGCAGAAGAAATGAAAGAAACTTTAGCAGAAGTGAGTCTGGTTTTTGCACAAAGAAAATAATATTTAAGTACCAGTGCCTCAGGCTATGATCTGTACTTTTATGACAGCTCACCCTTAGAAAGATTACACCCTCAAAAAAGCACAATAAATAGAATCCTTTTAAAAAGAATACACTTTCCATAAGAAAATGGAAAGAAAACCACCACCTCATAATTTCCTTCAGTCTGTAACACCCTTGTTTTTACTTCTAAGTACTAAGGTAATTTTATTTTGTTGCAATAATTATATATTTAAACCTTTTATGATTATCTAATACATGCCTTCTGAAGTCTGTACAGGTATCAGTTAGATGATAAACTTCATCTTACATTCACCAACTAAATGTGACTATCAGTAGAAGACAGTAAAGTTAATCTTTCAAATAGAATAAAATGGAAGAAAGGGGTATTACAGATTGACATTTAAAAGTTCACATGTGTGTTCATGAGAAGGAAAAACCAAAAAAAGAGAGAAACATTAGTAGTCCAAGCTTCATTCATGATGAAACTTCATTCACCATGGTTATTTTGATCATAATTAATCTTTACCATGTTTCTGTAAAAAAAAAAAAAAGAGTCATTTATAAAATGCCTTATATTTGCCACACCTTTAATGATCTCTGCTCAGAATTCTGGAAAACATTGACTAGATACATACTTGGCTTTAAAACCACCAGTGATGTAGGCTCTCAATGAAAGGATATTTGAGAATGTTGAAGTTTATTTGACAAATGGAGAGATCTCTCTTCTTCTGTTTTCACATGGGATACTGGCCAAAGGATATAGGTCTTAGAATTCCCTCAGATTTTTCACATTCAGTTTTTAACTAACATGTGCATGTTCACACAATTTTAATACTTTTGAAACTTAATCAATAATCCCCATAAAATGTAGTAGAAAGGAGATAAAAAAATCAACAGAAGACTTAAATAACAGAGGAATGCTATTCCCAATTACCACTAGCATTAGAAGTTAGAAGACATTTATAAGACATTAGAAGACATTTATAGGCTTGCGAATTCCATTATCTTGCTGAAATTTTCCTTTACTGTTTTTTTCAGCTTTATCCTGAATCTATAAATATCTTTGTAAACGGTGAACAAAGAGACAAACTGGACTATCTCAACTGTGCTTATGCAAAAATGAGGCTCTCTATTGCCATCTAAAAAACAGCTTTAGTAGTAAATTTTGAGGAAAGTTAAAATGCTAGGGATATATAAGTGAGGGAAGAACTACACTTGTCTGCCCACCATGTATTTGGGAGAAGGGAGCCATTTCTTTCTTTACTTTTTTTTTTTCTGAAGCAAACAATCTTCTCTCAATGAGAACATTTGCAGTATGAGTATTAATACAAAATTTTTTTTTCCTTTTCTGAACATAGGTCAAAAGATTGTTAGAACAGCACAGGCAGTATAGATTTAACATTACTTACTGCTCACTTAAATGTAGTTTATAACTAATTTTGGTAATGTCCTCTGCTAATGTAATCCGACAATGAACTTTAAAAATCTTGTAATTACAATTATGGAATATGATATCTATGGCTTAAAGAAACTTTGGTTTTGAGGCTTTGTTGGGGAGCCTTTGTTGAACATAATCTGTGAGGTATGTGAACTAGAAAATGGTATACATAAAAGGAAGGACACAATACACAGAGTATACAAAGTACATAAAGCTTAATAAGGAGCTAGAAAGCAGGGATTACTGTGGGTTAAAGATTAGTAAAGTAAATTTTGACAAGATTAATAAACTATAATGAAGAATTTGAACATCTTAATACTACAAAAAACCTGGAAGAGTTTTAGCAAGAAGGCAACAGAAGTTGTGATTATCAGATAATCATAGGATCAATGAAAAATCTTAGTTGAAAGGGACTGCTGGAGGTCACTGATCCAGTTTCCAGCTCAAAGGAGGGCCATCTTCAAAGGTATAAAACATCCAAGAGGATGCAGAAAAAAACAGAGAGAGCACAGGGTAGTGGGTACCACAGATAAAGGACTCCTCTGTAGGTCTGGCATATAGTTACTGGGGAAGAAAAAATAAAACTTTTTAGTTCAGTGCATGACAAAAAGAGTTAAATACTTTTGTTTCAGTGCAGATGTCTTTGCCCCATCCTGAATGAGTCCTCTTGTATGCCTGTCACTACTACCCAGAGCAACTCATTCAGTTAGATTTGTAGTAGTTTTACAGAAATATTTTATGGAGATTCAGAAAGTTTACCTTTTTCTTTTGCAGCTGTTTTGTATGAAGAATTTATAATTTAGAATTTATAAATACCTCATCAATTCAAAAGAGCTCTTTATGCACAAAGTAATATTAGTAACTCTCTGGAAGCTGGTAGCTCATGGAATCACTGATATTTGCAGGCAAATTTCCATACTGACAGGCTACTCACTACAAACTGCTAAGGGTACAGTATTAACACCACTTACCTAAACAGTCTTGAACAGTGTGCATACAACCTAAATATGCATGCAAGGTGACAGAACAATTGGTAATGGAGGAAGAGAATGAGAAGGAATTGAAGGGAATATTTTTGTTCTTTTTTTTTAATGTTTTGATTTTGATCAACATCATATACTCCAGTCTTTTTTTGAGAATACAATTCACCTGCAATCTAACAACTGGCACTTTTAATAGTACATTTTTCTTAATAAGAAAAATTTCTTGCAGCAGTATGGCAAATTTCATGCTGACATACATTTCAGGCCTGAGCATCACAAAATATTCTGTGTCCTACTAACATTATGCCTCAAGAGTATATTTTTTGAGGTGAATGCTCTCTCCTTTTAGGGGCAACTGAAAGAGAAACACTGCTCTGATTCACCTGTGCTCGGGACTTACTTTCTTATGATTGAGACATTTCCCAGAATAAATAGTTCTTCTTCCGGAAACTAACATCTGTAAAGTAAATAAATTTTATTATCCAGGTCCTCATATTCAGATGCTCCATTAGCAAGTCCACTCTAAATATACAGAAGACCAAATTAACAGCCAATGTGCACCCTTGGAGCTTGTCTTCTATTAGTTTCTGTGGGCAAATATTAAAATCCCTATTTAGGAAGAAAGATTTTTAATACAGTTACTGATGTCTGAGTTTCTTTCCACACTAACAAAATTCCTACAGCATTCATAAAAAAATATTCTATCTGAATGACTTTCAGAATAGAAGTCCTGACATCAACAATATTTTGTGGGTTTGTTTATTTGCTTTTTACTTGTTTTGTTTTCTTGTTTTTCAATTATTTTTAAAAATAAGCTAGCTAACTGTAGACTTGTTCATAACTGTTTACTATATGAGCCCATGTGACATCTTTTCAAGACCTTACAATGCAAATCTATACTTAGGAAATTCAACTAGCTCTCTATACCATTAATTTTTAAAGAGAAGTACAAAGAACTCTTCACATTTCTCTAATAAAGATTAGTTTTAACACATTAGAAAAATAAACATAGCTATAGTATGGATAAAATATACTACCAAAAAAAAAGCCTAAGTGATGGAAGAATGTCCACCATGCAAGTGAGAGTGGCAAAATTAATAAAATAATGGGTTTAGTTCAGGATGATGTATATACGATAAACTAAATTTTCTAATAAGGAGAAAATTATGCAGAATCTAAGAATAAGTTTAATGTTCTAGTCTTCATTTTAAGGAAGTGGGTACTTCTAAATAATGTTACCTGAAGATGGATAGCAAATGTTTTTATTTTTTTCTTGTAGCAAAATTCAACTTTCTATTGATAAATATAAAGCTGAAGGCACTGCTCGCTTCTCTTGTATCACAGTAGTAGTGATAGCAGCAGCAGCTATAGAGGCAATAGTAATAATCATAGCACTGTAGTAGACCAAAAACATTTAGAGTTTTCAAGCTGGAAAACTTCTCTTGCCTTAATGCAAGCAAAATTCTCACAGACGATGTTGGCATTGCCTGATTAGAGCAGGGCACCACAAAACATACTGGATCTTTGGCTGAAAATGCCCATTTTGAGATTTCTGTCACAAAGCTTCAAAGGGGAAGTAAATGCCATATGATTCAAAATTCTATCCCTTCTCTAGGGCCCCACCTTGGTAGCTAAGAAAGCCATGCCCTACCCCACTTTCAGATGATAACTAATAATATGTTTATTGTTTTTCCCAAAGAAACAGGAGAAGAATATCCAGCATGCCTAGAAGCCAATGACTAAACCAATATAAACAGGGAATAAGCATTGAAATTGGAATTAGAAGCTTAATTTCTTGGACAGCGTGGAGAACTAACTGTCTTTCAACAACTGCTAGATTTTTAAAATAGCTTTTTTGTAGGCTTTCTGTATTGCATTGGTGAGCACATTAAAAACAACAGTAGATGCTGCTATATCCACATCAGTTTTTAACACTTCCAGAAATTGTTATTCTACTGCTTCTCTGGACAGCATGTTCCAATGCCTG